AAGCTTTCGTCTCTGTAATTTCGAACTTAAAAGGTTAATAGCTCTAAGCAACTATAATAGTAGTTCCATTTATACGTTGCATCTTAACCGCGATCACGGTGTAGGAAAGAAAGGTGGTCCCGAGGACCTTCCACTACTCTGTACTGATTATTTCTTAGTCATTGAGCTATATAAAATATATAGCTCAATGATCTTAGTTATACGTTGTGTCGATTGGTGACGCAAAAAAGGGTGGAAAGTTAGTTGCTGGATCGTCGGGCGAACGGTGTAAGTGTAACACACTAGTGTAAGAGAGACCTTACACCGTGGTGAGGTGTAATGTTTCCCTTTACGACACGAATTCCTCTGGTAGATCCTCACGGAATTAGAATACAATCTACACAAAACCAGCAATGCATGGAGATAGTCCTTGGGACCACCTGTCTTACACCATAATCGCAACCTACATAATTTGTACCATGTGCAAATATTGCACGTACACCTACGCGTGAGACACGTACGAATCGAGATAATAAAATGATAATCTTGGATGCGTGACTAAATAAATAAATAAATGATACTACGCATACTCAAGGGTGCGTGACATCTAGGCTTGTGTGTATACGAACGAATTTTGACGAACGCTTCTTTGAAAAGTTAAGGCAAACGAGAGAATTAAAAGAAGAAATGACTTACCCTGCATTTTCAGCGGCAGCAATGGACATGTGCCTCCTCTCATCGAGGATGGCTTTGGAGTCAAACTGCCGAGGGAGATCCGTGGTAATGAGTTAAGAGTCACAGTCGAGTGTTCTCTTTTGCACGATCTGCCACCACCACCACCACCACCACTCCCTTTTTTTCACAACACCGCCGCACTAGCAACAATGCGGATTTCCACTACCGACTATCGAAATGAATGACACCACTATTAAATCACCACTGACACTTCTTTGAATTCGTCAATTTCGTCAAATTGTTTTCTCTTTCTTCACGAATAACTCACGTTAACGCTGTCGGACGATCATATCCGGAGAATCAAGTACGTAGCGATTCGCGAGTCCACGAAGTAACGAGTAAAATAAACGCGATAATTCGTTTCACTCTCGGTCACTTCTCATCCTCGGCCCCGTGTATCGTTAAGAGTAATGAAATAAATCAACGAAGACGGATAGTTTCCCTTCCTCGACCGACGCTCGCTGGTCGAACACGCGTTCTTAATCGCATCGTCCTGCCGTGCGTCTTTTCTTCGTTTACAGACATTCGGGGTCGTCCTATACGATGGAACGCTCACGTCACCGCGACGAGATCACTGCCACGAAAAAAGAAAAAACAATACCGAGGTTAAGTACACTTTATTTTTTCTCTCACTCCGATTTTCTTGGCACTTCGTATGTACGACTCTTCTTATCGACCAAGTATCGTCACCGTCGTTTTCTTCTCGCCCTCGAATTCACTTTTCGGTACGCTTACTTTCTCGCTTCCTCACGTGCCACATGAAACATCGCGTCTTCCCATTAACCACACACGTGATATACCGCGACAAGTAATAAAAACCTTAAGCTTTCCTGCTTTCTTTTAACCAGTCGTTATCGCTGCTCGAGAATTTTCTATCCATTGTTCGATAACAGGGATATCTTCTGTTCAGCGAGAAATACAAAGAGGAACACGATTCCAAGAAGAAAGCTCGCAGATGTTTCAAATCAGAAAATGATAGTTTTAGTAACTGCTTTGAATCATCGAAAAGTCTTTTTTCTTCCGGATGAATTCTTCCTGCGTGGAGTCTTGTGAAGTTCTTCGCAATGCTTCTCCTGTTAATAGAAAGAAAGAAATTGAAAGGCCACTTTGTTGCAAATAATAAGCACAAAGCAGTGAATGTTTTGCGTACAGTAACTTCTATTAATATTCGACCACTTCATTTTCTTTAGGATGTCAGGTCTGGTTTACCTTATAATATGTAAGAAAAAATTGATAAAAATTGCTATTCATCAGAATCTCCCTTTTCAAATTTGTCCAAATATTAATAGGAGTCACTGTACATAATGGACAATAGATTGTATACTAATGTATAACTTTGGAATGACATCCGATCTACCGTACCCTGAATGACGATTAGCCTTAACTTATAACACAATTTTTCACTTGCAGCGCATTTAAAAACACAATGATATTTGAGAAATCATTTCCAGTAACACGATTATTATTTTCACTGCGCAAATGATAACACAATAGAATAATATTGAAACGCAATTGCTCACTTGATGTATTCCAGATTAAATTATTATGAGAGTGTATTATGACTATCCGATAATTTGTCGTCACTTCATACATGTGACTGGGTCATTTTAATACATTCGATAACTATGCATGCATTCCCTTTAACAAGATTATTTAACAAGATTACGATGTATGTATTAAACTCATTTAATTGAAACTAGTATTAATTGAACTTTCTTTTCATTATGAAAACTGCTTATCGCTATCACAATGTCGGGTATCACATGGCGTCGTACTTGACGCACTACATACTAATACAATGGTCCGTGCATGCGCATGTCCACACCCCATTCTACTTCCAAACATATGTATGTAGACCGAGGCACGTTTAGGAAAAGTTGATCGATATTGTCGTCGACGCTTACGTTCTCTACGGGCACTACTTTCTCGTGGAATTTCAAGATTCGTCAGTCTGCTTGACAGCTCGAGATAAAAGCGAGAAAATGGATTTTTAAAGGCATCGAGACAACTGACCCACGCGACAGTGTTCCGAGTGAAAAGAAATGTTGATAAAGATGAGACCGGATTTTTTCTACCACGAACCTGAATTCTTTACAACCGAACATTCTACAAATCACTAACGACACACATTTTTGTGAAATAATTATATTAAGCGAACAAAATAAATGTTTACTTGCGTTTGTGATTTGTTTATTTATCCCATCCACTCGCTAATGGCAGCTAATTATCGAAACGCATACTCGATGTATCAAATAAACGAACAAGGATTGAGAACACGTAGCGAAAGCAATGTTTGAGACGACTGATTGAATCGAATCGGGAAATAAATGAGATACGTTTGCAACTCTGTAATGCGAAAAGTTATTCTTACCAATGATTCGCGATAATACGGAGGGAAAATGTTTCGTTTCATTGTCAGTTCGAGTAGAAAGCTTGTCACGCGTGGAGCGCAACCAAAAAAAGCGAGGAAATATGCGCGGAGCAGACACGGCGCGTACAGCGAAGCGCGACGAACTTGACTCTCAAAGCGGTGGACCGTCCGACAAGTTAATAAAAACGGAACGCCGAACACAGAGACCCCACTTTCTTATTATCGCACGAGCAAGGTACACCCGCAATCGTGTCACGCGTGCACACTTCCATATTCACAATAGAGGTTCACGTAATGACACGAAAATGCTTACATGTAATAATGATAATAATACAGAAAAATTATATTCTACACTCACTGGTCGGTTTGACTGCGACGAAACTTGTTTGTTCATCGAAGTTCCTTCCACTTCAAGATTCCTTGTTCGATTTCAATTTCACTGATCAGACCGAACGGATCAATTTCCCCTTCTTCCCTGTATCATTCGTAATCTCCAAAGAAGTCTCCTCCTCGTTTAGTCTCCTTTTTACTAAGTTTTCTTTTCACTCTGAAAGTTCACGCAGGTTCTGAGCACAGCTTCCAGTAGAAAAACACAACGGGGCGCCACGAGATGTAGCTACTTCGCTCTCACTCTTTCCTGTTCTCCTTTATTCTATTTCATAGCCTTGTTTCTTCTCTCACACGTGTCGGAAACGCGAAATCCTTTATAAAGACACAAAAACGCGTAATTCGAGAAGATCGATAATTAAATGTCTCAAACGAAAAAACATCAGCATTTTCACTGTACCGTCCTCTTATCTCCGCTATCATTGCGCGATGTTTTATAAAGGGCTCATAACTTGTTTTTATTATTCAAGCACAGTGTATACAAGTGTGAAACGTCCTCTTTACACTTCACCCCCGTTCTTTAATACCGTTTCTTTACGATGCAACATACACATGTGCGCACCTAGGTACGTACATATACGCGTATGCATACTCCCTTTCTTTCTTATCTCTGCGTTTCCGTTCTTTCTCCTCCGTCTTTCGCTATTTCACTGTTTGTCTCTGCCTCGTTCTCTATCAATTTGGCCGTGTGCACGACCCTGTACGTATTTGTACGTAGTACACGCAGTGCGCGCAGTCTACGTAGACTGTCCGTGTTTAAGTACAGACACGAGTGGTAGGCGCGCGCGCGTCTGTGTTTGCGTTCGTGTGTGCACTTGATTAGCCGTGTGACGTCAGGGCACGATTACATCGCTCGCGATTGTCACTTAAATCGACGAGTAAAGCCGCACTGGAATCCAGGTGGGAAAGGCGGTCGAAGACATTGGAACGAACCTCAAACCGCGAAACAACGGACGATCCGTCGCGCAACGGTTAAACGCGGCGGCAAGCTTTCGCGCAAACCACCCGCGGTATTCGTGAAACGACTGACTCCATGCAACGATTGCAGTCGTACAGAAGACGGGAGGTGTTCCGCTAGGTGGCGGTACCGTGTATCGCGAGGGGGCTCCGGCGGCCGTATTGCGCTCCGCGTACCGCAACTCATCGAATCAACCCGAACACGCACGATCTCCATCGAACCGTACCGAATACTTACGACCATGCACGAACGATTCAATATCAAGTGCACGATCCTCTCTCTTTCTCTCTCTCTCTCTCTCTCTCTCTGTTCTTAATTTCCCACAAACTTCGACGTGACCACGACCACGACGCGATAGCCACATAGAACGAGACGAATGACAACGCGTGTTCCCGACAACTTTATTTATACCCTTTATCGGTTTACACAATGATGTTTGCCTGCATTCTTTTCTGCTTTATAGAATTTACTTTAAGAATCTTTATTAACGTCGTGATCGCTTTATTATATTAGCAAAAAGTACGTATAGACGCACAACTATGTATATGCAAAGTAAATAATACAAATTCCTAATAGATAAAATAATTCTGTTTTGCTTACTATATTTGTCCATGTGTTCAATTTATTACACACTATGTGAATTATTCTTATTAACCAACCGCATTTTCTTCTTTATTTATGTACGTTGATAAAAATGGTAGGATGTCGGGACATTTTTCTTGCGCGAAACGTTCTATATTCTGTTTGCTATTAAACAATGATAAATTCGTGCGCGGTATTAGCAGTTTGCAGACGGATATCGAACGAGCCGTAAGTGCCTTATGTAAAGCAGTGTAACCGTCTGCATCTTTCAAATTAGGATTTGCGCCGTACTTCAACAGAAGTTCAACGACGTCAGGATGATTTTGTACAGCTGCCCTGTGCAGCGCGGCGGCTTGTCCGCAACGCGTCTGTGCATTCGCCTGTGCATTATTTTCCAAAAGTATTTTGCAAATTTCGTAATGTCCGTTTCGAGCTGCATAGTGCAACGCCGTGTATCCGGCTGAATCCTCCGCATTAACCGAAACGCCTTTCCTCAATAACGCCTCCACACGATCCAAATCGTTATACTGCGCTAAAAAGTGCACGAATACCGTTAATCTCAGAGACATGCGTATACTGCAAGATAATATGATTAATAATTAAATAAACTGAATTATTTACCCGCATACCATATACCGCGTTCGAATTCCATTTCATTAAATGATTGCCGAACACCGATAGTGTTATTTACATTGCAGCACATATTATGATCGTGGCTATTATCCTGTTCCATTGTTTACTGTAGATACAATTAGCAGCCAGATAATACTTTCCTATCACGTAATTAAAAAAATAAATGTTGCTAATATCGTCGAATCACATTGAGAAAACAGTTTTCTACTGCAGTTATATATTTTTCAATAAATATTCACTTTCACAATATGCAAAAAGTGTATTTCGTTAATACAGTTTTTGTGTGTACAATTTAATAAGATATATGAATATCGAATTTAAATATGA